GGTTAAAGGGAATATTAGTAATGTTTAATAACATTACTAGTATTTTTTTATATAAACAAAAAAAAACTTTTAATGTAATTTTCACTAACTTGTAGACGGCCGATTGGTACTTGTAAATTTGCACTCGTATCAAGGACCGACGATAGTACAATAATTTAGTGACTTTATCTTAGTATCCTGATCAGGTTCACCAGAATAAAATAAAATAACTATCAGGATCATTACAGCTCAAGATTAATGAGTGTTGTTTAAGTTTTTTTAACTCCTATATTAATGTTATCGGTGATTGGACTCTAAAAAATTTTTCCTTGAAACGAATTAAAAAAAAAATAGCTACTCCAATCTAGAGATTTCTCTGTCTCGTTTAAATATATATAACAAAGATTTTCTTGATAGTTAAAACAGGAGGTAACCTAGACCTATGTTTTTCGACAATTTTAGTTTTGTTCTCAACAGGGTGCGGATTTTAGGGACAAAAAATTTTTATATTATACAATAATAAACAACTGACTGTGTGCTAACAGCACTTTAATTTACTCGAACTTACGAGATATTCAGTTGAAACAGAAACTTGTTTATTCGATATGGATTAAAAATAATACTTACTGAATTCACTTTTATGTTTCACTAGCTGTTCCCCGCGACTTCTCTCGCGTGTAATTTAGATTTTTAATTTTTTTGCGCGGAACCTTAATTCTTTTTCTATTAAACAAAAGTAATAAAAGTAGCCTAAGTTACTCTTTATAACATCAGCTGTTTGCCAGTGAAACTCCCATCAAAACCGGTCTAGCCGTTTCAGAGATTAGCCGGGACAAACAGACAGACAGACAAAAAATACCGTATTTATTTTCATATGCATGAAAAAAAAAGCTGTTATTTTGACATTAAAACAGACACTCCATCCAAATACTTCTGTCCTGGGAAGGACCAGCAAGAAACAAAGCGGGTTTTGTTTTGGAAAAAAAAAACAGCTTACAATAATATATGTTTCACACTTAACAACACAAAACAAATTAGAAATAGCTTGGGAGCGATCTCCTCTTTCCCAGAGGTTAGCAACACCCATGAATTCGTTAATATCTTAATAACCCTATATTAAAATCATTTTTGCGCATGCATAATTTTTATTAATAATGTTTTAGTTATAAGCTTACATGTATTTTAACATATCAATATTCCATTCATAGACTTAGCTTATACTGGCATAATTCTATTGTACTTTTGACATTATTATTTATTATCCACGTTTGTTGATATATTTCATTGTATGACATTATGCTTTATTATCCGTGTTATTTGATTTGATTTAATGAATAATGAGATAATGTTTTAAGTTCCGTGATTTTAATAATATTGTAAGCCTTATCTAGGCAGGTTGTGGTGATACTTAATTACTTTTATAGTGTTAAATCTTTTAAACCTACAACTAACACAATAAATGACTTATTCTATTCTATTCTATTCCGCGAAAACTCGGTCGTCTATCTAAATCGCACTCGAATTACTTGTATGGTTTATTTTAATAATTTGGTTGAGACGAAATGTGATTTTTTTCTAACTTTGAATGCACTCGTAATAATAATTAAAAAAAAGTGACATACAGTCTGTAAACACTAGGAACAAACACAACCTAGTGATACCAGTTTCTGGAGTTCACAGAGTCAGTAATTCATTATTGGGGCAATGTATACGCTATTACAACAAAGTCCTAGAAAATATACAAGCTCTCTCTATTACCAAGTTAAAACATTGTATGAAACAAAAACTGTATAAAGTGTTATTATAGCATAAATGAATACATGGTTGACAATAACCCCAGGGTTCACGTTTTCAGTCTAAAAGCCATGTAGTAACGTAAACTAAAATTTAAACAATTTGACACGTAAAGTCATCATAGCGTGAACTGTTGTCGATTGGTGCAAGACATAAGCGGTTAGCGGGTGTTGCATTTCGTCATTTAGAAAATTTAGGTTGATTTTTGTGAAACAGTTAGCGTATCCTGATACAGTTAGCGTATCCTTGCGATGATTTTTAAAGTTGACTGTTTTATAAAGCATATCCATTCATTCACTAATTACAGCTTATTAAAATTCCACTGCTGAATTTTGGTCTCCCCCATAGTGTGCATAATAGGGGAGATATTTGCCATAGTTGCCACGCCTGACAAACGTGTTGGCAATCGCAGATTATTATTATTTTGAGTTGTTATCAGAAAGATGCTGCTGCCCATCTCCTGGTTTGTCAATCAGTCAAGCAATGTCTTTATTCATTAACAATAAATTGTGTACGAATATTACAGCAATGTCCTATTTATATTGCTAAAACTTAACTTAGTTAAACAAAATAAATAAATTAAATAAATTTTTCAAACAAAAAATAAATTAAAAAAATATTTATTAAATTAACTAATAAATGTCATTGTACCTTTCTTATCTACATCATTATTCTACCTACTTAATGATTAATATTCATCACAAATGTTCAATAATATTGTTTAAATTATATAATAAAGAAAAACCAATTAAAAGAAAGCTAGCAAATGTCAACCTATTCCATAATTTAAAAAAAAAACTAAACTTCCAAAATAAAAAGAAATAAGAAATAAACAAACTATTAAATGTCTTATCATTTAAATAAATATTCTAACTACTTTATATTTAAAATTCATCAACACTATAAATACTTTTCTCTATAAGTAGTGCCTTCAACTCTGTTTTAAAAACACTTGTTTGTTTCCCTCTGTCGCCTCTTACGACACCAACGGGACGATATGGAGTTGTGGATATTCATACATTGTTATAGTATAAAGCATTAATAATAGCAACGCCATAACAGATTACAGTTTCAAGTAAATATATAATAAATTTATTAAAAAATTTATTTTAACGTGTGGAAAACTTTGGCAAATGCCAGAAAGTAATTCCTTTAAATAATATTTTTAATATTTAACCAAGCAACAGAAACACTTATAAATTATTCTTAAAACTACAAAATAAAAAATAAAGTAACTAAAAATTAAGTATGTTGTGAAATAATAAAATGCGATTTCTTTTTATTTGCACCACAACCATTTTCTAACTCAACCAACAACAGTGGCAAGGTCACTTGCAAAATTTCACGTACCTATATTTCACCCAATTTCGTAATTGTTAAATTATTTATTATAAAAATAACTAGGTATGTTGCTGACAAAAGTGGGACGGACTTATTCTATTATAATGAAATTAATTATGAAATTTAAATTAAACATCGGAGTCAGAAATAAGAGTGTTCGCGAGCGATAGACGCCTCAATTAAACGTCAAAGTCTGCGTAATATCTTTCTACATCTCCTTTATACATATAAATTTATATGTTTACTAGCTGACCAGGCAGACGTTCTCCTGCCATTTCCGACGACCATGTGTCCCAAAAAAAGTCATTAAATTCACAATTAAAAAAAATTGAGGGTCACTTATAGGGATAAAAGCTATTCTACCCTCAAGTTGGACTGGACACGTTGTGAAACATTTCATTGAAATCAGTTCAGTAGTTTAGGAGTTCATCGCGGACAAACAATGTGACACGTAATTTTTATATATAAAGATTTGTAGATATATTCACTGCCCCATATCATCCCGTGGGTGTCGTAAGAGGCGACAGAGGGAAACAAATCAAGATATGGGCAGCAGCATCTTCCTAATAACGATTAAAAATTATAATAATTAAAAATTAAAAATTTTGTACATCCGATAATTGCATATTGGTCAGACTGACCAATATTCATATGGGACCACATGTGAAGCACCAGCTTTCAAATAAAAAAAGATTCATCGAAATCGATACACCCAGTAAAAAGTTATGAGGTAACACACATAAAAACATATAGTTGAATTGAGTACCGTCTCCTTTTTGGAGTCGGTAGAAAATGCGGTGGTATGGTATACTATATGCAAATTCCCTCTATGAGGCAACCTACAGGGGAGGCCTATGTTCAGCAGTGAACTTTTATAGGCTGTAAGGGGTAATGGATGTAGGTATACGAAAGTGTTGTTTTTTGTATTAATGAAATTAGCTAAAACTTGGCTAAAAACATGAAAATGAATATATGCACTGTTCATACTACGTAGATTATATGTGCTAAGTTTCATAGACAAGTCCGGTACGTCGGCTGCTCGTGTTGCTTTATACACAATTAGTTGTAAAGAGATAGCAATAAAGTTTGCAGCGGTGTCAAGGATAATAGGGCTAGGGCGCTTCGCCCCAATTCATTTCAAAATAGTTTAACGAAAACGGAAAAACACCTATACGAAATGACAAAAATTACAAAATTTGTCATGCTCTGAATGTGCTCAAGGGAAACAGATTTTCGCGGTTAGTTGCTGCAGCACAAACAGTTTGAAGGATTAGCACAGAATATACATACTTACGCGTGAAATGACAACAAAATTCTGCTGAAATAACTCGTCCATTGCTATTGCTTTAAAAAAAATGTGCGTTATTTTAATATCTTACGTAGAAAAATAAAGAGTTATCGTTTCAATATTAATCGCTCATTAGTTACTGTTTACGTTTATGTAATAGAGCCACACTACAACTTCGGTTGTAGCACAAATGGGTCGGCTCGGCCAGATCACGCTCTCACAGATCAACTTGCCGCTGTGTTTCGTGTGGTGAGTGTAGAGAACCGGAGACCCTTTTTAATGGAAACAAGACATTCCATCTTAGTCATCAGGGATGACAACGTATCTGCATTTTGATTCTTAATCGAGGATAAACGAAGATGTCGATGGGCTACAACAGTCACTTATACAATCACGTGGACTGTATGCCACCCTTATTTTATAAAAATATTTAACAAACTTAATTTTAATTTCTTACGTCGAAAAATAAAGAGTTTTCTTTTCATTTCATTGCAAACTCAAAGGCTCATTAGTTACTGAAATACTACGGATTTCAGGAAAAGTGGATGTACAAAAAAGTAAATTAGTAAATAATAAATAATCTCTATTCCAGGTTATATTGGCTCTATGCGCGTGCGCACACGCGCAATACGCAGAGGAACGTGCGCCGCGGTACATCGCAACCGAGCCAAAAGTCGCAACCCCGCCTGTGGCTATACTCAAGCAAATTAATAGGTATAGTAATTGTTTTTTTTTAACGTGAAACTTCTATAGAATCGTTGTGATTTAAAAATACCGATGAAACGAAAAAACGAATAGAATCGTTGTGATTTGAAAATCTATGAAACGAAAAAAAAAACACTAAAAAGAGACAAACATATACATCTATAAGATTTAGCTTGTGAAAGAATGAGATAGCATCTTTTATTAAATTAGTGGTGTTTAGGCCACCTAGCGTCTAGATTAAGTACCAGCTTGAGAGTCACTCAATTTTTAATAGTAGAGAGCGCTATTACAAAGAAATTTCACTGGTAATTTTTTGAAGATATCATTTCTACCGCTTGTGAACTGCACAAATGTTTTTTTATTCTAATATATGTGTGTCTGCTATCCCACAAATTTTAATAAGCACCGATTTCATTTCCCTCTGTCGCCTCTTACGATATCCACGGGATGATATAAGTTAGTGTGTAGTCCCGGGTTTGAATCCCAGGTGGGGCCATAATCAGTTATTGGGTTTTTTTGTTAAATAATCCTGTGAATTAAATAGTAGCCCTTAGTCAGGGAATTGGCTTGGAAAGCATGAAAAGCTGTAGTTTTTGCGCTTGATTTCTCTCCGGTCATGTCGTTAAGAGTGAGGGAATGGAGAGTGCATCTGTGCTTGCGCATACACTCGGGCACCATAATCCCGTCCTGCCCCGCTGGCTAGTGTCCGTTGAGCCTGGTCGCCGTGACCGAAATTCGAAGAGATATCGTCTTATATTTATGTTTTCACTGTATTGCAGGCACAACGAAGACGGCTCTTATACCTACGGTTACGAAGCCGGCGATGGATCGTTTAAAATTGAAACAAAGTCGCAATCTGGAGAAGTAAAAGGGAAGTACGGATACAAAGATGACACCGGCAAGGTAAGAAATTTTGATATTGATGTCTTCATCACGACACAGATATTAAATGCAGTCTATGCACTGTTTACACTATTATATTACACTAGCTTTTGCACGCGACTTCGTCCGCGTGAAGTTCGTTTATATCGCCACATCCATCCATCCTTCCATCCATGTTGGTTTCAAACCATAATCGATGCCATTTTCGTAATTAACGTCCCAAAAAACCATAAAACGACATCCATATAGACATTTCAACCACATCGCACCCCCACAGGGGATGATGGTAGGTATTTCCCGTCTGCTATGTTGGATTTTCAAATAGTTGTTGTTTTCGTAATCAGCGACCCGATAAACCATAAAAACGATACCCATGTTGATTTTAAGAATTTTTCACCTTTCCTTTCCACCTTTTAGAAGGGTTCTGAAAGAGCCTCAAACACTTGTTTACTCATTTATTGATAGGAGTACTCTTGTGAATTTTTGAAATAAAATAGCTTAACTAATTAACAAACTTTCAATCCCTTTTTCACCCCCTTATGGGTTGAATTTTTAAAAACCCTAGGACAAGTAATTATTTATTTCTAATCGTTAACCTAAAAACAATGTTTCAGGCTTCTAGCTCTAAAAATGACGGACTTCCATACAAACTTTTAACCCCTTTTTCACCCTCTTAGGGAGCGAATTTTTAAAAATCCTTTCTTAGCGGATGCCTACGTCATTACAACTATCTGTATGCCAAATTTCAGCGAAATCCGTTCTGTAGTATCGGCTGTGCGTTAATAGATGTGTCAGTCAGGTTTGCCTTTTATATTATTATGTATGTATATAGATATAGATGTGCTAAGTTTCATCGAAATTGGATAATTAATTACAGAGGAGATATCAATATAAAATTGCATCAGAGTCGCAACTATTAATATAATATATGATTAATATTGCAGATAGAAACATTCACCTAACAAATTAACTTCCCCACTATGGAATCTGTCAAATATTTTATCCCATTCCTAATTGACATAGCTTGCTTGCTTAACATAGGCCTAACATACAGATTGTCTCACAAGAGGAAATATTTACCGATTGCATATTAAGACACATTATAGGATTTGATTAAAAGTCTAGAATATAATGTTTCTCTGCGAGTAACAAGCGTTTACTTTCATTTACAGTTACGCGTTATCGAATACGGAGCTAACAAGTACGGCTTCCAGCCAGCCGGTGAGGGCATCACTGTAGCACCTCCCACCTTAGTCGACGAATCTACCGGGGATGAGGGTCTTCGGCCTGGCAAGTCACAGGTATTCAATCAGTTGTTAATTAACATTTTGTAATTCTTAGATTAATTAAATTATTATAAAGCTATTGTTTTTTTTTATAAAGTGACATACCAACATACAGTCGACCTAGGTAATTGGCTACGGTGGTTCATAGTCTCCTGCAACGAACTTTTAACGAAGAAGGATACAGATGTGTTATCAATTCCGTGGACTAAGATGTAATTGTAAAAATCAATCACCTTGAGGACCACCAGCTGATTATTGACCTTCAATACGGTGTCTAATACTGTGACCGTTTTACGGCGTAATGGCGTTGTAATGGCGGTGTAAGAAAACCTACTACCTTTTAACGTTCCATGGGTATCGTAAGAGGTGACAAAGGGAAACAACCAGAAAAACAAAACAAGACAGGAAGAAAACTGCAGTTGCCAATTTGCCTGCTAGTTGTGTCAACTATCGCAAATATCCCCTTTATGAGACAATCTATAGAGGAGACCTATGTTTAGCAGCGGACTTTTGCAGGCTGTTATAGTAAATACGGTTTCCGTCGAGTTCGCTCAGCTGGTGACCTTTTTTATAGAGGGGGCAAACGAACATGCGGCTCACCTGATGGTAAGTAGCTACAGCCGTCCATGAACAATTGCAACACAGCAGAATTACAAATACGTTGATGGCTTTTAAAAAAAGATTAGGCTCTTTCTTTTTTGAAGATCCCTAAGTCGTATCGGTTCGGAAAAATCTCTGGTGGTAGTCGATTCCACAGGGAAGTTGTGTGAAGAAGAAAACTTCTTCTAAATTGCACAGTGGTGCACCGCCAATCATCCAGATGGTATGGATGGTAACGCGAGTTAAGTCGCTAAGTGCAATGGTGAAATTGAGCGGCTGGAATTAATCACTGTCGGTCAGCCGGAGTTGGCACTGAGTACAGATGTAACGTCTCTTCGCAGTGCCAGTGAGTAAATCCGATCAGAAAGAGCTCGGTCGCCGACGATTCGAACTGCTCTGTGCTGGATGCGATCAAATGGAAGGAGCTGGCACTAGAGAGCCTCAGTCCAGAGATGGGAACAGTATTCCATGTGAGGCCAAACCTACACCTTGTAAAGTTACAGTCAGTGTGTCGGCATGAAATACTGTCTCGCCCTGCTGAGCACACCAAGCTTTTTAGAGGCCAATTTGGCGTTGTCTTCCAAGTGACCACAAAACGGCACGTCACTCAATATGTCGACGCCGAGGCTTCCAATACTAGCTGAGGCAACAAGGAGAGTGTGCTGAAATTGAGGAGATACGACAAAGGGGTTCTTTTTAGCGGTAAACGCGCAAACGGCGATTGAACTGGACTAGATTTAGTCACCCCCAGTCCGATACTTTGTTCAACAAAGTCTCGACTTCAAAAACGAGTTTGTTTCGGTACTCGATAACGAGTTCTCGAGAAATATTGGCATGGCATATAAAGTATCACCAGCGCTGTCGTCCGCACAGCAGGAACAAACTTGTGTCTGAAATTAAGTCTTTGTTGAATAAAGTCTTGGATTGGAGACGACTAAATCTAGCCCAGTTTAACCCTCGGAAGACACAGATTTGCGTGCTTACCATTAAAAAGCTATTTTCACGTGTTTTACCAATTTTAGGGCACTCCCCTTATTGCCTAAGCCAGCATCGCGATCCTCGACGTCGACATACCGATTGAAGTTCAGTTCGTACCAACAAATTTATTTTAAAGTTATAGATCATTTAATTATTGAATGTATTATTTATTAGTATATGAGTGATGGCATTATCATTTCTAATTAACTAGCTAGTATACAACATTTTTTATTTAACTACTAGCTGTTCCCCGCGACTTCGCCCGCGTGTAATTTAGGGTTCTAATTTATTTTTTGCACGGAACCCTAAATGTTTTTCTACAACAAAAGTAGCCTAAGTAACTAATTATAACATTAGCTATCTGCCAGTGAAAGTCCCGTCAAAATCGGTCCAACCATTTCGGAGGTTTGCAGGAACAAACAAACAGACAACAATTTTAAAAATTGTGTTTCTGTTATAAGTACCGTATATAATTTCATATGCATTTAGTAAAAAGCTGTTATTTTGACATTACAAACAGACACTTCAATTTACATTATTTGTATGGATAAGCTATTGTTAACAGTATGTTATATTCTGATGTCTTAGTAAAAACTATTCCAACTTTAGAGGATTAATCAGTTTTGTAGGATCCCTTTATAGTGAACATTTGGACCACTTTCACTGCTTACCTTTAGCTACTGCATTCCATGGACATCTGCAGCTAACTCCAAATAAATAATTAAAAATTAAAAATTTCGTACAACCGACTTCAATATAAATTATTAAGAATAACTCAAAAACTATTGGTCAGAACTTGATCAAGTTTATATGGGACCACATGAGAAGCACCAGCTTCCAAATAACAAAAAACACATAAAAAAAGAAGAAAAAAAACATACAGTCGAATTGAGTACAGTTTCCTTTTTGAAATCGGTAGAAAAGGCGGTAGATGCATTATCACATCTTAGGACTAAGTGGAATACCTCACAGCCTGTAAACATATTGGCTCTATAGCCTGCAGCTAGGAATACAGCAGTGAAGGCACTAAGTACTATTTGGTGGCTGAAATAGGAAAAAATGATGATACCTACCAGATGGATTCCTTGAACGTTTAACTTAAAATACCAACGATTTTTTTTGCAGCAGGGCGGCAGATCGCAGTACAGAGAATCCCAGTCCCAGCCTGACTACGATTACGAGGATTCCGCGCCAGCACCGAGGCCCGCCCCCCGTCCCGCGCCCGCATACCGGCCGCAGCAGCAGCCCCAGCCTCAATACAGGCCTGCTCCCCAGCCTCAACAACACCAGCCCCAGCCTCAGTACAGGCCTGCGCCCCAGCATCAACACCAGCCTCAGCAACAGTATCGACCAGCACCTCAGTCTGCTCCCACTCCGCCTAAGGTATTCAATCATCACAGTAGGTACATATTTGACTGCCTCAATGCGGTTGCTGCTAATAAGGTTTTACGTGGTAGAGTAACGCTGCAACTATGCATACTATGACTGCAGCACGATTGGGTCGGCTCGACCTAGGTAGGACCGCGCTCTCACAGAATACCAGCGTAAAGTAGCTGATTAATGCTGCTGTGTTTCATGTGGTGAGAGTAAAGAATCGGAGACCCTTTTTACTGGATAAGAGGCATTCCATCTTAGTCTTCAGGGGTGACAACATATCTACATTTTGTCTCTTAATCGAGGATAAATGTAGTTGTCCATGGGCACAGCATTCACTTACTATCAGATGGAATTTCGCCAACACGCATTGGGGCAGCGCGGCGGACACTGCCCTAAAACCCTCTCAGAAGTGAGAGGAGGCCTGTGCGCAACTGTGGAACGACGTGTAGGCTCTAACTTTTAATATTTAATTAGAAGAATTTATGTTTTAATTTGTTTTAGTTATATGTATTTTCATTACTTAATTAACTCATGCGTTGAATTAAAAAAAATAGTGTGTATCCAAAAATAAATTTCGTGCGTGATGTTATGGCGGTATATAATTATGGCAACACTATGAAATGCTCTTTTTAACTGATGATTATTACACATGAAAAAATAAAAAATAAGTAAATTATATCATCATGTATAATTTGTGCTGATTTTATAGTCATGATGTTAAAATACAGAAAAAAACACCAGCAGAGTTATTACTAAACCTTATTTACATTCATTTCCAGCCCCAGTTCTTCCCTGGAGCCGCACCCGCTCCACCAGAACGGGATAGCTTTTTCAATCCGGAGCCCCAACAGAGGCAACAGTACAAGCCCAAACAGGAGTTCCGTCCGGCTCCACAACCACAACAGTTTGCTCAAAGACCCCAGCAGTTCAACAACCCTCAGTTCGACCAATCACCAGCCCGATTCCCACCAACGAACCAAATCCAGCAACAAAAAAGCCCACCCTACTCCATGTTGGACCAACTCTTGAAAGAATACGCTTTGCCCCAAGGAGGATCTCCTGCCCTCCATGACATTACGTTCGGGTCATATTAGTGTTGAAATTGATAGGGTCATTGTAAATATGTAGCTTATTTTTTTATATAAAAGTAAAATAAAAAAATATTTTATACGCTATGAGTGTTCATTTAAGAGTGTAGCTACACACAAAAAATATTTGTTGCCACATTCTAGAAAAATTAATAACGATTATTTCGGTAAAATTGTTAATAAAAACTTTTTTAAGCCTCGCTTCTTATAATGGCGTTTGTATCGTACAAAAAATTAACACCTGATAGACGTCTAAACTAGTCTCCCCTTTTTTTTAAGAAGTGTAATGGACCCAAAGGGATCCTGAAGCATTGCTTGTGTATTATAAAAATGGCTATGGCAACCCTGTATGTTATACAAAATACTTTGATCGATATATCCTAATGACAGATTTAACAAAAATTTTGACGATTCTAAGAAGCAACTATATTGTAATAAAAATACAAGTCACGGTATGATTTTAATGCAATTTATAATTACAAAAAGGCCATAGTCCTTATCGGCTATTCTATATAAATACGAAAGAACATTGTCATTGTAGAGCAATAAAGTCTATTTATTTTCAAGCATGAAGTTTTTTTTTTTTATAAAATCATATAAGTGCCTTATAAAATCATAGAAAACCCGTGTAGTGGCAGTGTAAGAATATCCACTACCCCATATCAACCCGTGGATGTCGTAAGAGGCGACAGAGGGAAACAAACCGGGAGGTGGGCAGCAGCGTCTTCCTAATAACGAGTAAAAATAAAAAATAAACTACACTTGCCAAGCGTGGCAACTGTGGCAAATATCCCCCCTATAAGGCAATCTATGGGAGAGGCCTAGGTTCAGCAGTGGGCTTTGATAGGCTGTAATGGATGGATGTATAGAAGATAATCTACTAGAGCACATGACTCACTGAGAGGTGAAATTATTAAATCAACAGTAACATTACACCTATTGCAAATAAATGAGGAAATCTTTGGGGGAGGCATACAGAAACAGAAAAAGAAACAGAAACTTTTTTATTCAATATAGATTATAAATAAACCTAGCAAGCTAACAGTATAGCAAAGTGGCGAAGCAATCAGCTTTGTAGCGGTTTCTAACGGTTACCGTTGAGCAATCAGTTTTAAAATAGGAGGTTCAGATGCCTGGGTAATCAGTAATCGATTGCTGAAAACAGAATTTGAAAATTCAAAACCGTTCTCGAGATAATCGTGGGACAGACGGACAGACATCGTGAAATCAATAAGTGACTTCGCAAGCTTCGCCACTTAATAATACTTATTGAAAGTCACTATTTTGTTTGATTACCACTGGTTCGGAAAAAAACTTCTGTCCTGGGAAGAACCAGCAAGAAACCCAGCGGGACTTTTTTTTTAAATAACAGCTTACAATCATGTAAATTAATAATTCAACAAATTAGAAATAGCTTGGTAGCGATCACCTCATTTCCAGGGGTTATTATCATCCATAAATTCCTTAATATTATAGTAAACCTTTTTATACAAACTTAGTTTAATAAAGTTTTTGAACTTTGAGCAGGTCAAATTTTGTATGTTTTCTGGAATTTTGTTGTAAAAGCGTGTACATCGCCCCAAGAATGAATTACTGACTCGATGGAGTCGAGTAACTGGTACTACTAGCTTGTGTCTGTTCCTAGTATTTACAGAATGAATATCACTTATTTTTGTAAAACTACTCTTATTTTTGTGTACATACATTACATTTTCATAAATGTATTGAGAGGCTAAAGTTAATATATTAATTTCCTTAAATTTTTGTCGCAGCGACTCTTTATCCGCATGTTGATATCCGCAGTAGAACCGAGTAGATCAGTAAGCTGAAGTAGCAATAGCCTGTCTGTATACTTCGAAGAAGCGGCAACTGTTAGGAAAGAAAGTTTCACGAGTGGCCCCGCACGGTAAGAGATTCAGGAAACCGATTTTTTTTATAGGATAAGGGTGACAAACGAGTACACAGTCCATCTGATGGTAAGTGGTTGCTGCGGCTCATAGACATCTACATCTATCCTCTATTACAAATCAAAATGCAGATGCGTTGTCACCCGTGAGGACTAAGATGGAATGCCTCGTTTCCAGAAAAAGGGCCTCCAGCCACCTATAATCACCAAGCGAAACGCAGAGGTAAACCTCTACTTCACGCTGGTATTCTGTGAGGTCGTGGTACCACCCCGGTTTGGGCCGGCCCATCCGTGCGACAGAAAAAGCTGCCGCGTGGCTCTACCACTGTATAAAATCGATGTAAGCAGGTGGCTCAAAACTATTCTTTGTGGCATTCTTTAGGAAAACATTGCAGCTATATTATGATTCTAGCACGAATGGGTCAGCTCGACCAAGGTAGGACCACGCTCTCGTAGAATTAGAGCTTAAAATAGCAGCTCAATGCTGCTGTGTTTCGTATGGTGATTATTAAAAACCGAAGGCTCATTTTAAGTAGTAGTAGGCCTGTCTCACTCCGCGCTTTAGGCATGAAAACATACCTACGCTACGTGACCCCGCTTGCGGGGCAAATTCTGTGAGGTTGTCACGCGCCCGCTCGAACTGACGCGCGCCTTACGTTAAGGGGCTACTCCATGCGAACGACCTTGAGCATTTGGTGTGCCGCGCCGACTCGCTACAATATAATATCACGTAAGAAATATGTAAGGCGCCACCTACTGTAAGAACGTAGTATTAATATTAATAAACTATTTTATGGAAATACACACAGCGTACAACGATAAATGTATCTCAAATTTTACATTCGGTATATTAGTTGCATTATATTAGAGTTATGTATTCTCATATAATATTATCTAATTATGAAATTTTATAATTAATTATATATTAAAAATGAAGCATTGAAAATTGTGAGTTTAAAAGATACCTACTCACTATAGGTAAATAGATAGATAGCTCCCCTTTTGTACAAATATTTGGTGCAATAAAGAATAAATAAATAAATAGGATGTTTCGCAGAGTGAGAGTAATATAGAATGAGAGTCGTGGAGGCAGTTTACAAACATAAATTGCACAAGGACAAACATCCAGACCCGGAACAATTATTTGTAGGCCATACAAATACTTGTTCCGTGCGGGATTCGAACCCGCGGCCCCCAGTGCAGCAACTGATTGCTAAGCCAGTGCGCCACGGAGCCGTCGCCGGTTTATAGCTAAAGTGACCATACGTCCCGTTTTGAACGGGACTGCCCCTTTTCTCAGTCACCTGTCCCATTGTCCCCAAACAAAGCTCCGGGACACAAAATTGTCCCGTAACTTGTTGGATGGAAGTATTCAAAGTCAACAATCTTCAACATATTTTTTTTTTAATCGAATATATTTTATGTCTCCCTGGTACAAATGCTCCAGTAGAAAGAATATTTTTTTTATTTTGAACAAATTGTGGACGTCTGAAAGAAACACTTACGGTTCCAGTTCTAAAGGCGATGTTGTTAACAAAGGTAACAATAAAAAAACTTAAGCAGAATTTTATTCTCATTTAAAATTATCACCAACTTTATTGAAGCAAATTTAATCCACTGACAAATGTAATTAATAATTAAAAAAAATATGTTGCATTTAATAATTACCGTCTATACCGAATATAATTTTATATTGAACACTAATTGTGTAAAGTTATAGTTTTTAGAGTGTAAATAAACCCATGTCCTGTTTTGAGTTAAAAAATAAATGGTCACTTTAGTTTTTTTTAGTTAAATTTAGTTTAAAAAAAATTTAGTTTATAGTAAAAAGTAGGTATATTAATACCTACTTAGATACTTTTTACCGAATTAGGGTAGAAGCCCCTAATACCAGTCATGCCCCTAATTGCAGTCTTTTCGCCTTTTTACTCCATAAATAAGATTTCTAGTACATAGTCTTAACTACAAATATTTTCATCTAAAAAATTCTTTGTACCTAGAGGAAACTATATTTATTCAAATATTACCTCGCAGTTTTAAACCTAACAGTGTTAAAATCAAAACAGGTAGGCAACGAAAAACGATCATTTTCCTAATTATTTGACAAGTTATGATCCCGGTAAAATTATGCTTACTTTACATTATCTCATATATAGGCTTTTTGATTTGTATGAATATGACTATAGACATAGTAATGCAGTTATTTATGTTTGAATTTACAACTTATTTATTTTCTTTTAGTGGAAATTAATGGGACTGTAATTAGATAATATAAGAAATGTATGGAGTGCATAATGTCAGCAGCCCGGCTGTTATTTGGTTTGACGTACCTAATAAGAAGTACCTAATTTCAGCCACGTAATATAAATCAGAGCTGCCATAAACTGTAATAAATACTATTAATTAGATCATAACTTATTTTATAGCTAAGGGAGTTATGATCAATTCGTCTGTTTTAAAATTGGTTTTAGATTTTAAAGTTTAGCAAAATATGTACTAGCTTTTCTCTCTGACATTCGGCGTATAGAACATCTTATGTACTCAATTATTTTTTTTGAAAAAGAAGAAAAAACAAGCAATAAATAAAAACAAAAACGGGCCAAAATTTCATAACTGACTTTTTGACAAGACCCGGGATTCGAAACCGAGAACTCATGATCAGCACTCGCACTACTACAACCACTAGACCAACGAGGCGGTACTACACCTAATAAGATATTGTGGTTGGGTGATAATATTGAATTAGCCTTTTATAGTGTAAATAATAATATTTGTCGAAATTTTAATTATGGATTCGAACCTTACATGCTAATGGTGCTTCATTTTTTTATTTGCATTTACTTCAAAGAAAATACACGCAAAAAGCTTCATCGCGCAGTAAAAAACACAACAAATATATGTATAACTAATACGAAAAATTATACCCAAAACAAACAAATAATACTACCTATAAATAACCTAATAAGTAATATTATTATCGACTAATATGACGTGAGTGTATGTGCTGGTCGACGCTCTAACGACACGGGCTTCGCGTCGAAGAGCTCAGGGCTCACTGACTTCAACAAGCCCGTGAGCAGTGAATATGCCCAGATTTTAA